AGTCTGCCTGCCTGCCTGACTTGCACAAGGCACTAATGCTTCCCTCCATGGCTGCGATGCCCCCTGGGACCACCCGAGCTGGGTGCCTGCATGTGGGTGCTGCCTGGTGTGTGTATGTGTGGGTGGGGGTGCCGCTGCTGTGGAGGGAAACACCCGGCCCCCCACCCCTGCAGCCCAGGGACTGCTCTGCCTGCTGGCAGCTCCCCTCCCCAGAGAGGCCGGTAAGTCAGTGGGGTGTGTGCATGACGCCGGGGTTTAATCAGCCCTAAATTGAAGTGTTGTTGTTTAAAAAACACTGTTTCAATTTAGGGCCCCTGTTTTGTCTACACATGCCCTTAGGCTGTTTACTCTAAACACGATATAGTTTTAAATCCTCCCTGTCTGGAAGCAGAAAGTGCTCTAGAAGAGCAGCTTCCTTCCATCTAATTTTCCTGTTTATCTCTCATCCTTATAATTGAATCTAACTCCTTCCTTGACTTTGAGCATGTGAGGGAACTACTCTGGGTACTAAGATTCCTGTAAATAAAGCAGGCATCACTTCCTTTTCTAAAGAGAAGTGGGATGTGATGGAATTGTCTTCATGATGAACAGTTGGATCCCAAGTGGTCTGTTCATCCAATTGCGCTCTACTCCTTCAACACATAACTCAGCTACAATATTGTTCCTATTCTATAGATATATCACCTATGTAGTGCACTGCATGGGGAGAAGATAAACCTCAGATAAGAACAAAAAATAATAAAAATAGAAATCCAAAATTGGGGTAGGGAGCATGAAGGAAAGAGAGAAAACAAGACAGTCAGGGGAAAAGGAGACAGAAAAATATGTGTTGTGGGGAGGTATTGGAGAGAGAGAGAGAGAGAGAGAGAATGGTCACAGAAGTGTAGACAAAGGATCTGTACCAGGGCAGGGTGGTAGGAAGTGGAGTAAGATGGTCTAAACACTAAATAACTGATCTGTTTAAAAGTTGCCATTCTTGCTGTGAACCTTGAAAGCCAACAAGCTTTGGTTCTGTTTATGAATGGGTAAGGCAATTCTGGAATCGCATGAACTCTGAAATGAAAGTCTTTCCCAGTTCCCAAAGTGTGTATGTCTGGGACCTAACAGCATGGGTGGCCAAGTGGACCTTAATTCATGTGGAGAAGCATTAAGAAAAATGGGCTTCTAAGTTACACGTGACTTAAAAGCAGTCAGATTTAAGCAATGACTCCATAATATGTTTTATTAATTTAATGCTTACTGGTTTTAATGTGGTTTAAGTTTCTGGGTTCTGTGTTAATGCCAAACAAAAACCATTAGAACTGATCTTTTAGGATCCTCTTATTTCACATTCTCTTAAATGTTGAAGGAAAAATTCCTTCAGTTTTTTCAAGGGTCATATGCAAAACACATTTTTGTTGGTCTTTTTGCTTATTGTTCTTTCTTTATATTTTTTGCATTGTTCTTGCTTAACATCTTGATGTTTATGAATGACATGTTATAAATGATCAATATAAAAATCCTTAAGAAGTAGGTGACTAGAATTGACTGTGCTAGCAATCAATCTGGCTTATTTGTTTTTGTTACTATTTTTTTTAGGAATGCTGTCTTTGTAATTTGAGAGGTGGCGCACTCAAGCAAACTACAGACAAGAAGTAAGTAGTGGATATATAGAGGCCAATCTAATTAATTTTATACTCTGTTACCATGCCCACTCCCATACAAAGAAAGATTCCACATGTAATTATTTCAAAATGTCCTTTTAAGTTGAATTATTGCAGGATAAGTGTAACTCCCCTTGAAAACACTATATTGTGCCACTGGCACTTTGTGAACATACTCAGTGTGCTAAAAAATAAAAATCGTTTTATTATTTGCATGTGCTTACCTATTCCAAATTCCATTCTGCTGGTCACTGTATAAAGCAAGCAAATGAAAGCTCATTTGTCATTGTTTGCATTGGCAAGCCTTATTGTACAGGGAAGTGTACTTTCTTCTTTAGTTGTGGAATTTTATGATTCTAGTATTTAACACAGTACTTCTGAACTTTTTTTCAGACACAGGCATTTACTGTATTGTTCTGCTGATAAGTTGATGTTTTTTCCTCAAAAAGAACCATAAAAATCACGTTCAACTTATATGCAGGGATGACCTAGGATCAGGCCAACGTATTAAAGAATTAATCAAACTGAATCTTATTAAAATGGTCCTGGGTCTTGAAGTAGTTAGTTTTATTGTATTTCCATTTGATAATCACGACATCAGATCAATAATAACAGATGTTTATTCTTCATTATGTTGATAAAATCAAGGGCAGGATATTATTAAATATCTTTAGAAGATGAAATGTGAAAAGGATTTCTTCAAGTCCAGCTGTAGAACAAGCTCCTATGTGTATTGCATCTTTGCTTGGAAACCTTTCCTTTAACTATACCAATATATTATGGACCTTTTTTCATTAAGCTTTGAATCACCAAAAGTGAATCTAGCTTGGTGATATAAATTCATCAAGCCCAAACTTCCTTTCAGTGTTTCCCTGCAGTAGTGTTTTGACCAATGATCTGCAGTTAGTTACGTGTTATATGGATGAATGGAACCTTTTCACTTGTGAACTTCTGACAGTGATTTTACTTTCCAAATACATTGGTACACTTCTATAAAACATTGAATTAAATAAATAAATATATATGTATACGTATCTCCCACACATCATATAAAACTAATAACATGCAATTTAGATTCAGTCTAAACCATGTATCAACATGTTTGTTTTCTGTTTACCTTTTACTAAGCTGCACAAATGATTAAACAGAGATCCTCCCCGTCCCCTCCCCCCCAAAAAAACCAAAACCCCCAAAAACAAAAGGCAAGACAGTGCCACCTGACTAAAATGCAGCATGCCTGCTCTGGGTAGATCCCATGCAGCGTGTTTTGAAACACCTTGTATATTGCTTTTATGTACATTTTCTTAAAGATAGAAACACATCATCTGCTGGTAGTTTCAATGTGCATATTACAAAGGGTGACTTTTGGTTCGAAGTCTGCAGCTTTATTTTTATGCCCTGTTGTTGGCTTCTGTTACAGAGTTAGGGAATGGTGACTCTGTACAAGAAACCTCAACTACTGTATAATAAATTACACTTGCTATGCCCCTTTGACTCCCTCTCTTGCACTTGATCCAGAGTGTCATGCATTTGGACACTATCCACCCCTTCAAACTTCTAAGCATTTTCAAATCAGCCTGCCACAAATATGTTTTCTTTTTTTTTTACCAAGTTGTAGGATCCCTCCTTACACTTAATGATGAGATCATAATTAAGGGTAGGAAGGGAGGTCCAGGATGGACCTAATTTGCAACAGATTTAAGACCTAATGATCTCTGAGTGCTGGGAGGTTGAGAACTTGACTGTTCAGGAGAGCTGATAACTCCTTTGTCAAGTCTGATACAGGCCTTGCTTCAAATCTTGGTAGTCTGAGATACCAGATAAATCTTGTGCTAATGATTTATAGAAAAGCTTTATAATTACAACACTTCTGTGCCCTCCCCCCCCGACTCGCTGTTAGACAGTTGGTGTGAAGGTTATCTGGCTTTACTGGCATGCATTTATAAAAAGACTGTATGAATTAAAAGAAAGATTAAGTGCATCTAAAACAATATTTCTGTAAATTGTAACATGGAGAAAATATTCTCCATAAGAGTCTGATGTGGCATAAAGTCTTTATAGGCACTCATTTACAATGACCTGCATAACTCATGAATGGCTGTCATTTTGGAGTACTGTTCCCATATCTCACTTTTGCCTATAAAACTTTTATACCACACTGCACCAGCACACATTGTTCCTGTATATCACCATAGCTTTTTCTAAATAGTTTTCTCAAATTTGAATGGCTGAAATGGTATTGCACTGTACTGCAGCAAAGAAGAAGAGATTCTGTTGTGCTGCTCCTCCTGAAAAATGTGCTAGCCCCCATTCCTGCCTCCTCTGGACCTACTGAGATCCTCATTTTCTGCACATCTCAGGAAATATTCAAAAACTGGCACTGCTTTAACGGGCCTAGTGGGATAGCAACAAAGGATGCATAGAGCAAATATTAAGAGTTAGAGTCAAATTGTTCACCCTCCTTCAAGTCTTAGGTTCATTACCATCATTTCTCCTGTCCCCCTTGGATAACTTAGGAGTCTCACTGAGACATTTGCTAAGCTTCAGTTGACCCCTTAGTCCTCCTCAACAAAGCTGTACTCTCAACTTTCATTTTAGCTTAACAAAGGGTTATATGGGGAGAGTATCTATATTGCAATCCAGTACTTCGAGTTTGTGGCAGTAAATCATACTAGTAGCTAATATAAACAAATAGAGCATATGGTATTTTACCAGAAGACTTCTGAAGTTGCTGTAAAGTAGGTTTAGGTTGATTTCTTAGTTATATGCAGCATTGATCCTAGGTGTCCTCAATTGCCTTCATCACTTGCAAGGAATCCAGTTCACAGGTGGCACTATGAACATTGCTAGGAGAACTGAGCATCTTTTGCACTGTTATGTCAAATTCTGAAAGGGTAATAAGGCTGTTTCATTCTGCTCTGACTCTATGCCCCTTTTTCTGGCAGCACAAATTGCTGTTAGTGTAACTGGTTGCTACATTTTGGCAGCTGAGTGCATGAAAGTGAATATGTGGCTAATTTAAAAGTACCTGCTATGATCTGATTAGCATTAGTCCAGAAAGCTGCAGGTTAGACGATGCATTGCTTACAAATGGAAGATAGCGACCATATGTGCAAATATTGTTGGCACCACTACAAAAAACCTTTGCAGTTTATAAATAAAGTATAAATGGCACTTTTCAAAATTTAACCTGAAGGGGTATTTACAACAGGCAGTGTTAACATAAGGATTTCTCTGTAAGATTGAAACAGAACATTTCTGTCAAATATTTCCCAATCTAGACTGATGATTCTTATTCAAGAACATTTCTTTTTGCAATATATATGTAAGTATTATCTGAATGGCAGGAATTGGACACAATATTGCCATCAGTTTTGTAGGACACTTCATTTAGTATATTGTGCAGATCTTTTCTTCTCTGATATTTATTGAATTTTCAGATAATTTTCTAATACTGCATAAAAATAAATTTTAAATATAAACACTATTTCTTGATCTTGGATTTAAAAAGGAATTTGATGGAAGAAAGATTGGGTAGTTGATACTTCAGTTTCATTTGAGGCATGGAATCTTTTTAACTATATCATCTTTGTAAATATTTTTGATGTCACTGACCTACCACTTTTCACAGGTGGGCACATGTGATGTGTGCAATTGCAATTCCTGAAGTCAGATTTCGAAATGTCACAGAACGGACACCTATAGATACTAGTAGAATACCTTTGCAGAGATTAAAATTGGTGAGTAATAAGGCTGAATTAATTACATTTATAGGTATTGTGCTGTTTTGAAATGTGTACAAAATTCTATGTATAGTTAATAGTAACTATTGCACACTTTTATTTCAGGGAAAGAATAAATAATCAAAATGTTAGTTAAACTGAAATTTCTCATACGTAATAGTGGGTTAGATATTTTCATTCATTGGCATTGTTTTGGTTTATGGTCTTGGGTAAACAACTTTTGCTCTAGGATAAAAAAGGGTGAAACAATGAGTAGTTTCAATCACTAAGCTAAAACTATTGGGGCTGCTCATTGAGGATCCAGCTGAAACCCAAATAAACCAGCATATCTCAGAATTTGTACGATTTTTTTCATTTTTTGCCTTAAGGGAACCTTTTATGGAGTTAAAATGATAAAAGACCTGATATTTTTACCATCTGGGAATTGAAAAATGTGCACCGATCAAATCGCATGTTATATTGAGCTAATAAATAGCTCCCCAAGGCATTGTGAAAAAGGCAAGAAACAAACACAAATGCTTCAACTACAAATACTAGGACCCACGTATAGCCCCCATATAACCCTGTCATCACACATTTGCCCTGGATTAGTGAGAAACATGTAAAAGCTTATGTCAAAGAGAATATTCCCTGCTGAGTTAGACCTAAATTGCTTAATTTGCCAGACTGTACTTCAATGTGACATCGTCTTCCTCTGACAAAAGGAAAATGATCCCCTTCCCAATATTTTAAAAATATTTGGAAAATAACCCTATTTCTTCTCTTTGCCTACTCCATAAGTAATTGGAGGAAAGATTGCTGATGTACTTAACCTGAAGATAATCTTTAATTGCTCCAGTTTTGTGAACTATTCTTCTTTTAATTTATCTGCTATGCTTTATATTTTATAACCATTGGAGTTGACCTCAAATTCTTGATCTGAAAATACCAGTTTTGGAAGTACTAACTATAAATAAGATGATCTTCAATTTTGATGCCTCCAAATAGTTACTTACATTATGACAGTAACCTAGTTGGTAATTGTTAATCCAGTAGTTATTTTCAAGGTATTGTGGAATTGAAATGTGAATTTGCCTCCTGTGACTTGAACAATAACAGAATAGTAAGAGCCTTCTGGAAGAGGGCTTGAATGAATTTTAAGTTAATGAGCTATTAATTTATTAATGTAGTTATTGTTTTAAGAGTCAAAATGCATGGACTTTTAGTGAAGTTACATGATACGCAAAGTTGTAGGCCATCCACTGGCTGTCATTTATCTGCAGATCACTGATAGTCTTAAACACCTTTCTATCACTGGAAGCTTTTTCTTTCGTTTCGTTTGTTTTTCTCCTTTGATTTACATATGGTTTAGTACATTTCTCTCAAATTGTAAAAACTCTCTTAAATATTTTCATAGTATGAAGCCACCAGTTTCCATTAGGCTATGTGTATATTGCTGGTGCTTCTCCCGATGAATTGCTGAATGTTTAGATGCATTATCCTGCCTTCCTTGGTGCTTTTTTTTTTTTTTTTTATTTTTAAGTGAAGGGGCTGCATTACGGATGTTATACCATATTTACTGAAACCCAAGATGACCCTGAATTTCAGACAACCCCCCAGTAATTAGATCTTATACGTGGAGAGTTTATAAATTTACACATTTTCCATGTATAGAATCTAATCGTTGGAGGATCACCTTAAAATGCATCCCCATCACCACTGCAGTGGGAAAAACAGTGGTTGGGGACCCATGTCAGACAATGGCTATCAGGTGTTGGGGGGAGCAATGAGGGACAGGCAATATGGGGAAAACAGCTTGGCCTCTGATTCCTCACTTATCCTTCCTTGTGCCTGCCTCCCCCTGCCTGCCTGCTCTGCTCCCCCACAGCCTTGGATTCCATCCTCTTAAGCCTCTGTCATCTTCCTGCCCCTTCCTTTCCCTCCTCCCCCTCTTCCTACCTCTGCCTATGTACCTTTTCTCTTGGGATGGAGCCTGCCAGTGCCAATCTAGCCTGGGGCTGCCTTATACTTTATTCTAAGATGTGAGGCTTTCCCCCACCATGTTAAATGAGAGGAAAAAACATCATCTTGGAATCAAGTAAATACAGTAATAAAGAAATTCAGATGAATAAAATGAAGGTGGAACCATGACACATCATAGTGCCATAAATGTACTACTGCAGACAGTTTACTTTATTGTAATCTCAGTTGAGAAAATTAAACCTTGCTTTTCCCAGCCTGGGTTAATTGCATTCAATTTACAATGAGTGACAATTGTTCTTACATCTCATTAGTAAATCTAATGCAGGTTCATCATGAGGTTCAACCTTCCTAAAAGGTTTTATAATGATTTAATATCTGTAGCCAATACACTGCTGCTACTTGAGAGATCAGCAAGCAACAGAAGAAATGGGCAAAGTTCTCTTAACTTCAGCAGCCTGCTAATGCTTTAAAAATGAAGAACACTATTACAAAACTCAACTGTTTTATTTACTTTTTAGCATACTCATATTCATAGGAATTTTCCATATTAGCTGACAAAACTATAATTTTTGCCTTGTATTGCTTTGGTAAAAAATTATTTTCAGAGGTTTCTGTTCAGTGCCAGGGGGACAGCGTTTTTAAAAAGATCAGACGTTGCCATGATCAAGCTATTTTATCATGTTGTCCCTTGAAATCCAAGTAGAGGGAACGCATTTAACTGCCAGCTAATTCCTTGTATCTCCTGGCTTCTACTTACAACATTCAGATTTTTATCAAAGGGTGAATTGTGCAAATAATGTCCAGGAGATTGTCATGATAGCTTTTCATTAGACAAAATAAATAAAGATAATGGAAGAAGGACCTTGCAAAGAGACCCTCCTTGTTTGAGTAGTCACATGCTGCCATAGGCAATCTTCAAAAAGTGTCTCAACACCCATCTTGCTGGGGTCATCTGATCCCAGCAGTCTTTCCTGCCCAAGTGCAGAGGGGCTGGAGCCAATGATTTGTAAGGTCCCTTCCATCCCTAACAGCTATGAAACAGCATGTCAGTAGAGACGTAATAGTGGACTATGAAAAATTACAACCTTGCAGTAGAAGACCGGGTTGAGTTGTTTCAAGTGAAAAGATTTCTTAGTCTGAGCAAGGCAGTTGGATCCTGCAGATAAAAGACTGAGGTTATGAATTGTCATAAAGAGATTCAGGTCTGATAGAGCTGTCTAGCAAATTTGGCATGCTATTTTTTTTTTTAAATGGTTGGGGTAGGCATCATACCAAAAAATGGAAGTTAAGAAATGCAAAGAAAAGTATTTCCTTCTATTCTGGAGGGTTCACTTGAAGTAAAAACAAACAATACTCCACCTCCCTGCAAAAAAAACCCCAAAAGATGTACCTTTTATGTAATGCAAACCTTCTCAGACCTTTGAGTACATGAGATGATTCTGGTTAGTTTTAATTATAAGAAAGGAATCATGGAAAATAATGATAGAAACTAGGTAAAAACAAACAGAACCAGTTGAGAGTAGAGTTCCACCTCTTATTTCCAAAGATCTGCAGTGTGAGTTGACATTCCTTCTTTGCACTATCCACCAATATCAAAGCATATAAGAAGTCAGTGTTTGCCATTTAACAAATTAAACAACATCTGTGCGAAAGTGGTTGACTCTTTATTATTCAGCTAGTATATATATGGATTGGTGTTAGATAGCTTTTAGCTCACAAGGCATTGTGGGTCAGAATCAATGTTTTTTATATCAGTCTTCATATCATGTAATATATACCAGTACGGTATACATTCATTCCTTCCCAAACAAATCAGTGTTTGTATTATGTTTACAGTATTATTTTGCACAACTGCTTTCTATTTGCACATTAATGGGTTCATCTAGCCAATTTATGTAATTGGTTTTAGATTTTATATAATGTCAAAATGCCTTTATATTACTTTGCCTCACATTTAATATGTTGTTTATTCCATATAATTTCTATGTTGCTTAAAATTTACATGCCATGCTAAAATGTTCATTATAAAATAATGTTGTCAATCAAACCACAATAATAAAATACATTATATGCTGTTGAATAATAGGATGATGCTGTGTTCACCAACAGTAAATATGTTTGAATGATAGGGGCTAGGAATAATAGTTTGCACATTCAGTGTTATATTGTGGGTCTGATTCCACAGTCATACCAATCTTATGTTGTTGCAACTCATTGACTTCAGTAAAGGTACCACTGGTTTTGAATAGAATGAGAATAGAATGGAATTAGTCCCTTCTGTTTTGTTATTGCTGCTGCTGCTGCTGTTGGGGGAGAGGTTTTATTTTCCCCATAAGGTTTAGGTTTTGCAGCTGTTCATAGGGTTTAAAATACCCTTCCTAAAACAGTGGTAAACTAGGAAGAAGTTTTAAATCAAAATTTTGTGGAAGAGTGGAGCTTGTAGTGTTTTTTCTTATGTTTGCAAACTTGAGCAAAAATAGTTACTGAAGGTCTCGTCTTGGAACATAGGGTGTGTAGACACAAACATGGGGTGCAGACAAACAGTTGAACTGTTTCAATAGTGTCACTGATTGGGAACTGGTTCGTAATTGTCCCTGGAGAGAAGTGTGCACACATATGCGGCTAAGAGTTCTAAGTAGAACCCTCATCTTTTAGGGATGGCACTGCTGCCAAAATGCCACCAAGCGGTGGTAGAGTACCCAAATTATCCTGCCTTCCAGGGGTCAGTGCCCATAGGTTTCTCTAGGATTCCTCTAGAGAGGGTGGAAGACCTGGATTAGGGTATGGGGTTGGAGTGGAGGGGCTGCCAGATTCTGGGGGAGTGTATGGACTTGTAGTTTCCAGGGGGCAGGGTGTTCTTCCTTCCCACCCCCTCCTCAAGAGCTCCCAGGATTTTCCAGTGGTGCAAGTACCTTGCATTACCAGCAAAAGATGCAGAGATTGTAGACGTGTGTGCAGGGTGCAGCGTGCAGGGCAGGGCTTGGTTGCAAGAGTGCAGCACAGGGGGGGAGGAACAATTAACAGTTAGTGGGGTA